CTCTAACATACTATCAAGGCATCCAACTTGCGTGATGGCCTCATTCTAAGCACAAGTTATACATCCTTGGCTATAAAAATCCCCTTAGCTTAATGCCATCGACATTGAATCTGGCCACTAGGGCTGTTAATCAAANTCGGGAAATTCCCTCTTGGCTATCAATAGAGGGCCCTCTAACATATTATCAAGGCATCCAACTTGTGTGATGGCCTCATTCTAAGCACAAGTTATACATCCTTGGCTATAAAAATCCCCTTAGCTTAATGCCATCGACATTGAATCTGGCCACTAGGGCTGTTAATCAAACTAAGCTACTCGACTTTGGCTTGAGTTCAGCTCGAGTTCGACTTGTTTAGGCTCGGTTTATTTTTTAAATGAGCTCAAATTTGAACAAGTTTTTAGGCTCGTTTAGAAAACAAGCCCTATAAGCTCTGTGTTGGGANACCAAACTAAGCTACTCGAGTTTGGCTTGAGTTCAGCTCGGGTTCGACTTGTTTAGGCTCGATTTATTTTTTAAATGAGCTCAAATTTGAACAAGTTTTTAGGCTCGTTTAGAAAACAAGCCCTATAAGCTCTGTGTTGGGATTTAATACGCTTTAACTACAGACAAACACATATAATCAAAGAACAAACCAAAAACATAAAGCAATAAGAAATAAAAAAGAACAAGACACACAAATTTTTTGTGGTTCAGCAATTTGCCTACGTCCACGAAGTTTCAGAAATTTCACTATTAAGAGAGAGGATTACAGAGAACAACTATACACTTCAAATCAAACCCTAATCACCAAAGTAGTTGTTTTTTATATGTTCTACACACTGAGTTACAAAACAGGCCCAAAAAATTTTCATGGACCAAACCTCTAAAAATTTTCCATTAAAAAACTACGCAACATTACTTCGAATCGGATCATCATCCGGATCAACATACAAACTAGACTCCACAAAGGCTCAACACTCGGCTCAAATTCGACAGACTCAACTCGTTTATGTGCAAATACTCGGGTTTGACTTATTTTTTAAACGAGTCGAATTTGAACAATTTTGTAAATTCAATTCAAAAGCAATTCAAGTTCGACTCGAACTCNACATACAAACTAGACTCCACAAAGGCTCAACACTCGGCTCAAATTCGACAGACTCAACTCGTTTATGTACAAATACTCGGGTTTGACTTATTTTTTAAACGAGTCGAATTTGAACAATTTTGTAAATTCAATTCAAAAGCAATTCAAGTTCGACTCGAACTCGGCTTAGACTCATTCAACTAACAACCTTTCTGGCCACACTTGAAATTTCCTTCTCTCATTCACTTGATTGAATTGATCGACTGGGATATACATCCGGCCCCTTCTAATCCGGGTCATTTCGTCCCCTTCGCTCCAACGACATCCGGACATAATCACCCTTGGTGCCGTTATCTCCTAATATTGCCGGAAATCACCTGCTCATCTACATCGAAGTACTTTCAAGTTCCTCAGCCAACAAGAGGAGACAAATCTGCCAACATATATGAGGAGATGGTTCCTTAAGATTAGTAGGGTTAGGCCTAAGCCCTCAGGCTGTGAAGGAATCTTTTGCTCTGCTTTAAATTGTAATGATATAGTTAATTAAGAGATAAATGTTTCATACGCTATTGGAATGTGAGATGAAAAGTCACCTAATTTTTCACATAATGAGAATATTTTCTTCAGTTTGTTACGTAACTCTCGTATGTCCTCAACTATGTGTATACAAGTTTTTTAATCATGGAACTAATTTTGCATATAAGGAACAGTTTCGTTAATTTTTGACACAAAAATAAAAACCTATCTTGAAAGTTGGAATCAGTTATATTCTCTCTCTCTCTCTCTCTCTTGATTGTGGCAGCAGGTTGCTCCACTGTGGTATTAGTGAAATTAACTATATCTAGGGAAGAGAAAATGGATAGCTTCAAATAAAAACATGGAAGGGAAAGCTAGTGATTCGAGCCAAGGGGGACAAAGTTGTCCCCTTTGTATAGGAATATGAATACACGGGAGAGGGTAAACATATTTCCATATTCTCTTCTGTAGGGATGGTTGGTCTCCTTGACAAGGCCATGTCAATAGAAAACCCATTAGAATAATAGCATGGGAAAAAGAGAAGAACAGAAAGGGTTCTTGGGATTTTAAGCAAATGAAAACTGTCCTCAACTGTTTGTGATAGGAAAAAAAAATGTATTCTCAGCAATTGAGCATTGTTCTTGTAACTGAGCCATGCAGCCAATTACGGTGTCATTCCTTAGATAAATATGTAGATATGGCAAAGTTTCTCTCTCATGGATGGATTCAAGTGTCAATCTTATCAAAGAAATTCCTTCTTCTGAACATTTATTGCAATTATGTTGGCATATGTTTGTGTTTGCCTTGAAATTTAAAGTAACCTGTTTTTCTAGGCAATGTCCTTGTCGTATTCTCGAGAGTGAGATTCAGTCTAATATATGTTTTCTCAATTTTCCTTCGTTATAAATCACTTACCCCAACTAATATACATGTTCTCTCAATCTACTAATACCGTTGTATATTTGATAAACATGAAGGATCGAACATTGGCGAAAAGAATATTGTACTGACTCCGAATCGTTGGGTGTAAATGTAATTGTAAGATTTGAGTTTAGTAGACTCAGTTTTGTAGAGTTATTCTCCTATGCAATCTGTTCTGCATGTATTGCCCTTGATTGGGTTTTTGGTGGTTGTATTGAGCTTATTATTGAAATTTTTTTGTGAATGTAACCATCTTTTTCACTTGAAAAATCCCTTGTGCTCATGTACATGGATATATGTTCATTAACAAGTACACAGATATAGGCATGCGTAATATGTGTATTCCTTTTGTTCACTGTCTTGTAGGGTATGCTAGCTGGTAGTATGAAAAATAAATATGCTTATGTACTTGTGCATTATTGCAGAAAACAAGGATATTGCTTGACTAAATATGGGGAGAGAGAGAGAGAAAGGGAGAGAGGTGTGGTTTGTAAGTTTGTATAATGGAAAGAAGAGTGACCCAAAGAGTGAATTTTTGTGGGCATTGGTTTCCCCAACAGATGGAGAAGAAATCTAGTGGCAATTAATGCTTTATTTCTTGTTGTTTTGTTGTTTGTCCAGCGTCATTGCACAACATTAGACAGGAGGGAAACTGCCCATAAGGACATCAAGTTACACATGGTGGTGATGCTTTTTTTTTTGATAAGCAAGATTAGTTTCCATAAAACCGAAAGAGGAGCATATTCAAAATAAAATCCACATTTCCAAAGTGGTGGTGATGTTACTCGTTCATAAGTTAAGTAGCACTGAAGTTCAACGATCAGGGGAGGGAAACATATTACTTTTATATTTGATTGAACTTGACAAAAGTGTGTGTGTGTGAGAGAGAGAGAGAGAGAGAGGTGAGAATTAAACTGAAACAGTGTGCAGCCAAAATTCTGTTTGGTAAGACTAATTTGCAACATGTAGTGATCCCACCTAGTGTACATGCCTCTTCAGATGGATAACTGTAGACTGAAAGGACATTTCAATAACACTTTGACTGTTTTCTCTCTCTCTCCAACCACCCCCCCCCCCCAAAAAAAAAAAAAAAAAACAAAAAAGAAAAAGCTGTGATCAAGATCCATTGATTGCTATCCTCTCCAGCCTTATAGAATTCTTGTACTAGTTTACGGTTAGTACCTATCATACCATTGTAATCCTAATATATCATACATCCATTCTCTCTCCAAAAGCAAATCATTTACTTTGAACTTTCCTAGCAACAGTGAATCTCAAGTTGTATATATGTTCCATCCATCAATGGCACATCTCTCCACTAACCAAAGCAAAAGGGCATCACATGCATCCCAAAAGCTGATGAATTTGCAGGATGAAAAGCCTATCTCAACTTCATTTGGAACAATTGATATACATACTCCAGTCTTGTTATCAATTGAACTTTTCCTATGAACACACCCTCCTACTATTTGTGATACTTGTTAGTTTTTTTTTTTAATACTTGTTAGTTGGTGAAGCTTCTTAGAGGGTAAAATTATGTTGAAATTACTAAAAAAATTGGTGAGATTATAAAGAAATGAAGTCATTTATGATTGATCTCAATATTTTTGTTGTAACTTAACCTCAATTAGGTCTAATTTGACCTAAAAATTTTGGTATGTACATTATTGACTACCGTATTCACGCAGAAATAATTGAAAAGATAATGAATCATTAAAGGGCCAAATCCTAAAAAGAAAAACCAACTTTTATCATCAATGTAGGTATCATCATTCGCAAAAGTAGAGGAGATCTTGTGCTTGTCTCCTTCACCATTTCCTCATATTCTTATCTCAACCTTTTTCTTATAAAGAAGCATTAATAGTTTTTGTAAATTCATTTCCTCATTAACATTTGAAATCGTGTGCATATAAATGTAAAGAAACACTAAAGATAATACTCATTATCATAAAGAGCCATTTTACTTCACTATTTTAACCTATCTTTTTCTTTTTAGATTTCTTTTCTTTTCTTATAGAACACATAACCTTGATTGCAGGAAGTAATGAGTTCATAGTCATTGGAAACTCATTTCCCATGACAATATGAACTTCTAATAACCTCTTCTAAATGCTTATATGAATCCTTTACAGAGATCTAGTAAAATGACCAAAACACTACTTTTGTAGGTATGTTTGAAAAATGCCAGTGAAACATTGTTCCTCTATATAGAGCATTTCAATAGTAATCTAATATTTTCTTCTAAGAAAACCTCTAGAACTTGCCCATTGAATTCCAGAACACTTTGTTCTTAACTTTCCCGTACTTTATGGGGTTATGTTTCCCATTTCCATTGCCCATATTTTTTTGCTTCTGATTCCTAGATAGGTCAACATGGCATTCTAATAATTTTCTTCTAAACCAATCACATATTCAAAAGCTTAAAAGAAGAATAAAGAAGGAAACAACAATAATGAGTAGAAAGCAAAATGGATTTACAGGGAATAAGATTAAGTTGAATGTATAATGAATCCTACAAATATTGCCAAGCAGGACCAATAGATAACAATAAAAAGTGGTCATCGAAGTAAATTAGAGCTAAACCTCCATTACTTTTGATAGAGAAGGCTAGAAAACCATCCATATGAACTCATGAAGGAAGAAAATTCTCTAAACTTCATAGCCACTTTCTTCTATATCACTTCATGGACTCATTATCTTGTTCAATTTCAGATGCAGGTTCATCGTCTTCGTCGAAGCTGCCAATCCCATAAGCTGCATGGCCATGTCCAAAGGCCTTAATGTGATCTTTGAGAGACCTCTTGTGCTTGAAATCTGACCCACATATGCAGTACCAAAGCTTCCCACAGTTCTTCTCATGGGTTCTCCAATCTCCTCTCACAGCAAAGGATTTGCCACATTTTCTGCACATGAACGGTTTGATTCCATGCTTCCTCTTGTAATGTGTTTGAAGTGTTCTGAAATCTTTGAGTGGCTTTGATCTTGGGTGATCAATGTTGTTTCTACACCCTGGTGCACAACAATAGCATGGAAGTCTAAGCATGCCTGTTGGTTGAGTTCCCCTTAGTGATTCTGGCCCTTTTCTGTACTGAGATCCATGCCCCCACATATGCATCTACAACACCAACAAATCCAAATAAATAGTTAGACAAGAAAGAAAAATAAAGGGCAAAGTGTAGAGGGTCAAATAGTTAGTTAAGAACATACACAAAAATAAAAGGTATAACAGTCCTAACTTAGTCCCAAATGAACAGATATTGTGGCCTCGTAGAGGATTTTTCTCTTCTTTTTTTTTTAATAGAAATAAATGGTGAAATGACACCAGTGCTGTGAATAAGGAAGACCAATATCATTCTACATGTAAGGGGATTTTTGTTGGAACAAATTAAGGAATAAAGATGGGAATGTTTGATTTTTAATTTTCTGTTTGTTGCTACCTATACTATTTTGACAGATTTCTCAAATTGATGGCCTTTTTGGTAGTTCCTTTATAATGCACATTTTTTGTGATCGACTTTTTATCAATGTAATGGTTTTTCTTTTCTTTCTTTGGTTCGAATGTAATGGCTTTTCTTCAGAGATAGTAATCATGGTATGAAACTAATGTCGGATTTTTCTTTCTTTCTTTTTTTTTTCCTGCAGAAATGTGTAAAGATTACTAGGATTACCTGGTTCTTAGTTCCCATGAGATCTACAATAGAGAAAAGGTGCTTAAATGGGAAAATAAATTCTAACGAAAGACTAAGTTGAGCTTTAGTGATGTCTTGTTTTGGAACATAGGAAGATCTGAAATCTTATGTATGGGGTTTTCATGTCTGTAACCTGTATAGTTGCAGACTGAAGATTTTCCATAGATAAATTCTGTTCCTTGGTGAAGATCAGCTGAAAGCCCTGGAAAGAACTGAAAAATTTTCAGTTCTACACACCTGCCAATGTGTAGAGCACAGACTTCAAAGTGTACTAAAGGCACAAGGAACATTGTCTGTGTTGTTCAATCACATAAATGAAGGGTACTGATATCTTTCTCAGTTGCTTCAGATTGACATATTCAAAATCCCAAAAAAAACAATACCATAAACCATGCATAATATTAAAAAAACTGGAAAGTAGTTGAAAATTAGGAAGATGATGGATCTCTTTAATTCAGTTATACCCATATGCGCAGTACCCTTTTCCTCTTCAAATTCAAGCTTAGACAACCAATGGAAGATTGAGATCATACAAGAAAGTTAGAGGGCAAAGGGTCCATGGATTTTCCTTCTTTTTACTGTATGAAATTACTTGGAAAGAAAAAAATAATTGTGATGAAGAGGATAAAGAAAGATTTTTGGAGGATGGTTAATGGGATGAAACTTACTTGCATGTTGTTGTATCTGTTGAAGGACTTGTAGCAAACAGGACATGAGAACTGTGTAGGACCAATGAGAATCTGAGAAGGGGTGGGAATCCAATACTGACCCTTGTTGAGTCTGTTCATGGGGTACCCAGAAATCTCACCATCTCCATCTTTGTCAGTGGTTTCTGTGGAAGAAGAGAGCATAGAGGCCAGATCAGCAGCACTAGGGTTTGGTGGTCCTATGTGCAGAGCTACAGTTACAGTTTCATCATCAGCAGCAGTAATACAAGCTAGGCTCTGAGTTTCTTCTTTGGCTTTGATTTTGTCCACATCCATGTCACTGCAGGAGGGTTCTTGTTCATCATGTCTTGTTGGGCTTAAGCTCAAGAGAGGTAGGGCTTCTTTTAGAGGAGGTGAAGGAGGTGGTGATTGATAGTGAATAGGGTTGTGGTGGTTGATGAAACTGTTTGAGTGGAAGTTGTGATTGTAGAGAGGCTGCGAAGGAGGGTTTGGGAAAGAAAAATGGTGGAGAGAATTGAATTTGAACCACTGGCTGGAGAAATTAGAGTAAGGGTCAGTCATGGTGAAAAGGAGGAAGGGGTAGAACGGTTGGCTTAATGCGTTTGCTTTTATAGAGAGAGAGAGAGAGATAGAGAGAGAGAGAGAGAACAAGATGACCAGGTTGAATGGTGGTATGAACTTTGGAGAGTGGAGGGATTTACAGTTTAACAAATTAGTAAAAGAAATAAAGGTACTGGAAGAAAGAAAAAGTGACCCAGTGAAAAATTGAGAGGAGAATCTAATTCAATTTCATGGAAAAAATAAATAAATAAATAAATACTCCATTTTGTATGGAACTTCGGAACACTACAGTTCTACCACTTGAGATGTGGAAAATTCTTATGTTTACTGCATACCAGTATTTGCTAAATTTACTAAGGATGGGTATGGTACCGAAACTTATCATGTTTTTAAGATAAAATGGAAAATATTAAAGTCAAGTTATAAAAGGAAAAAAAATAATTTTTAGGATCAATATCAACAATCCCAATTTATTGTAACTTGGCCAAAAATTGTAATTTTAATCTAAAAAGTTAAAAATTTTGAAAATAACGTTTTACACTGCATTTTTACCTATAAACATTACTACAAAGTGTTACCTAACATTTAGAAGAAATTTAGCTACACAAAGAAAAAGTCTAGTCAAGGAAATGACACCATAAAGATTAAAGAAACTTTTAAACAACACCCCCCCCCCCCCCCTCTTCCCCCAATCAAACAAAAAAACTCAAAACCCAAAAAAAACAAAAAAAAACCAATTAAGAGGAAAAAGAACTTGTAATGCGAAGGGGGCCTATGCCATTTCCTTTCTTTGAAACATTGGTCATATAGTAGGATTCATTTTTTTTCAATGTGTTTTTTCACTTCTTTTTTTTATTGGGACACTGCGGTTTAGTAACCTTGTCCACAAAGTCAGTAATTGTTAAACTTTTACGTAATATTGACCAGAAAAAAATGTCTGAAATTACTGTCCAGTGATTGAAAAGTTCAAACTGATGCAAAATCATTTTTCTCATGGGCATGATTGTTTGTTTTACACTAAGTTGTTGATTATGTTTTTGTTGTATTTTAGTACGAAATTTGTTTAATATGTAGGAAAAAGAAAAAAGATGTGAATTTTTTTACATTCTAAATTATTAATTCGGTCGCCTNAGGTAATATTGACCAGAAAAAAATGTCTGAAATTACTGTCCAGTGATTGAAAAGTTCAAACTGATGGAAAATCATTTTTCTCATGGGCATGATTGTTTGTTTTATACTAAGTTGTTGATTATGTTTTTGTTGTATTTTAGTACGAAATTTGTTTAATATGTACGAAAAAGAAAAAAGATGTGAATTTTTTTACATTCTAAATTATTAATTCGGTCGCCTATTACATATTGGGAGATAGAAATCCAAATTTGTCCCGAGAATAAGAATTTTTTTTATTCAAAACAAAGAACGATATATAGTTCAACAAGAAAAATAAAATTTTTGTAATTCTATTTTCTGATATTACTGTCATCACAAAATGCTACTTTTATTTACATACTTAAAGGTAAAAACACAGAGACATTCCATGAGAGGCTGTCCATCATGATGACCCATTCCAACCGAGAGAGAACGCCACAGGATGTACGTTAGTCTCTCTCTCTCTCACAACCCCCCCCCC